CTTTTTAAAATGTCCACATTGGCCAGGTGCAGTGGCACACGCCTGTAATCCCAGCACTTTGGGAGGCCAAGGCAGGCGGATCACGAGGTCAGGAGATCGAGACCATCTCGGCCAACATAGTGAAACCCTGTCTCTACTAAAATATAAAAAAAATTAGCCAAGTGTGGTGCATGCCTGTAATTCCAGCTACCTGGGAGGCTGAGTCAGGGGAACTGCTTGAGCCTAGGAAGCAGAGGCTGTGGTGAGCTGAGATCGCGCCACTACACTCCAGCCTGGCGATAGAGCAAGACTCCATCTCAGAAAAACAAAAACAAAAACAAAAACAAACCCACATTGTGCTATGTAGACGATTTGTTATATTTTCTTTTCATTAGAAAGCAAAATTATGTTCACCTTCACTTCCAGTCATTCCCAAAGAAGACTGAGAAGGCAGTGACATCTCGGCAAGAGCCTAAAATCAAAAGTAATGTGGAAATGTTGGCTTATGCCTGGACTTGATTCTCACTCAGTAAGACCTTGATGGTAATTAATTAGAGTCACTCACTGACAGTTTTCAATTTTGGCAATTAAATCACCCCAAATACCTATACATGTATATAAACAATAAATACTACTTTCTGATAAGGAACAAAAAGTACACTGTATAAAAATGCCTTATAAACGTAATTTTACATAGAAAATATTTGCAACAATAAATGTGGTAACCCTGATGAGGTAGCAAGAGGGTGCCTGGAGCATAGTATTGGAGAGGCGAACAGTGGGTAGCAGTGATGGAGTAGAAATACAAAATTATTGAAAATACATGATAATAAATGATCAATAAAGTGCACTATGTTTAGAAGGTAAATTAATTAAAAGCATAATCACTGCCTTTCTTTCTGAAATAAATTCAAAGTATGCTTTGAATCTATCACTGTTCCATTTGTTCCAAGAATAAATTCCCACAGAAAACTAAAATCATGTTAATAACCCAGATAATTGAAAAAATATATTATTTATTAGAAGAATATGACTTAAATGGGTTGACTTTCACATTAAAGTTTTGCTTATTTGCTATATCATGTCTCTTGTGATTTTAGAAAATCACATATTTTTATTATTACCTAGTATATCCTAATCACCTTTAAATAAAGGAATATTATTATTACTAGTATTGACATTAGTTAGCAATTTAGTAATTTAGAGAAGTATGTTTAATTTAAATTCACTCTGCTATTCTTGCTGACAGCTATTGCTTCAATGTCCAGGTCCCAAAAGAGATAAAAACCTCATCACATCCATCTCATTCTTGGAATACTTATGACAGAAAAATAAATAGACCTGACCACTCTCTCCCTCACAGTAATGCAGTTCAGTTGGATTAATTGACTTTAAAGAAAGCCTACTCATACATAATGCCTGTTAATTATTAATAAAGAGTCACTTTTAAGGAAAAATACAGGAAATCATGACTGGAATACTTAGTAAAATTGTGATATAAGACTGGGGTGGAAGAAGTTTATTCTCCTAATGTATAATTATTTACTTAATCTACAATGTCAGATTAGAAAACACAGATGTCACAATGTCAGTAATGGACAGATGGAAATTACATACACAGTGATACAGAAAGGTAGGGCCTGTAAAATGTCAAAGATACCTAGAATAAAGAGGAATTTATTTTGTTGACAGTTGGCAACTGTAGTCCAAACTGACTGAAGCTACAAGAAGCATTGGGAAACTTTTGAAGGCTGCAGAACAAGAGATGGTGGAGAAGAGGTAGGGGTTAGCAAAGATAGTATATATGTAATTTTAAAATGAATTAAACAAAAGTAAGAGAAAATGAGGCTATTTCTGGATTTCAAAGAAAAGGGTAGGACTGATATTTAACTGGTTCAGACTTCTGCTTTCTGAGTTTGGTAAACAGTTTAACTTATATTAGTCCCTTGTCAGATTTATAGAGTGTGAAGATTTCCTCCCACTCTGTGGGTTGTTTGTTTACTCTGTGATTTTTTCCTTTTGCCATACAAAATTTATTTAGCTTAATCAAGCCCCAATTATTTATCTTTATTTTTATTGCATTTCCTTTTGGGTTCTTGATCATGGAATTCTTGCCTAAGCCAACGTCTAGAAGGGTTTTTCCAACGTTGTCTTCTATAATTTTATAGTTTCAGGTCTTGGATTTAAGTTCTTAATTCATCTTGAGTTGATTTTTGTGTAAGATGAGAGATGAGGACTCAGTTTCAGTCTCCTACTTGTGGCTAGCCAATTATCCCAGCACCATTTGTTGAAAAGGGTGTCCTTTCTCCATGTTATGTTTTTGTTTGCTTTGTCGAAGATCAGTTGGCTCTAAGTATTTAGTTTTATTTCTGCGTTCTCTATTCTGTTCCATTGGTCTGTGTGCCTATTTTTATACCAGTACCATGCTGTTTTGGTGACTATGGCTTTATAGTATAGTTCAAAATCAGGTGATGTGATGCCTCCAGATTTGTTCTTTTTGCTTAATCTTGTTTTGGTTGTGCAGGCTCTTTTTTGGTTACATAAGAATTTTAGAACTGTTTTCATGGCAGATGAGAGGCAGGACTAGATTGCAGCTCTGACTCAGATGGACAGAGCAGAGTGCAGAGGCTCGCATACTGAATTTTAGCTCCAGAACAACTTCAGGAATAAATTGGGAATCCCGAGAGGACCCACAGACCTTCTGAAGGAAACAGACTGCTCCTGCGGGACCCAGGAGACATCCTAGATACTGCGAATGCCCAAACTGCAGAAGTGGGAAAGGGAGATCCTCTGCCCCGAACACACACCCTCACTGGCAAACTGAAGTTCTAGTTTGTGAGAGAAGATTCCAACCTTAACTGGAGCTGAGTTAATTTAAAGAGCCGAGAGAAATACAGGGGTAGAGGAAGCAGCGGGAAAGGCCCTGGGAGCTTGCTGGGTCCCCAAGCAGGCCATTCCTGCCTGACATCGCAGGGATTTTTCAGGAGGGCAGCCGGAGGTGTGGGAAAAACGCCACCTGGAGAAGGAAGTCTCTAGCTGAACTTTGTAACAACTTGAACTGGTCAAGAAGCCTCCTGTCCAGAACTTGGGGGGAGGGCACGAATCTGGCTTGCAGACTGCACAGGTGGCAGAAAAACTAAAGCCCCTTTCTCCTGCAGCCGAGAGGTGGGTAGCCTGGGGCAAGTTCTCAGCTATGCTTGCCCACTGCCTGGAAACAGACTTGGTGCTATCGGTAGGGTCACGATGCGAGTGAGAACAGCTCTTCAGATTGTGTGGGACAAAAAGGCCTGTGACTGCCGGCTTTTCCCTACTTCCCTGACCACCTGCATGACTCAGCAGAGGTCGCCATAATCCTCCTAGGTTCACAGCCCCATTGACCTGGGAACCTCACCTCCATCCACTACAGCAGCTGCAGAAAGACCTGCCCAAGGAGAGTCTGAGCTCAGACACGCCTAGCCCTGCCCAATCTGATGGTTCTTCCCTACCCACCCTGGTAGCTGAAGGCAAAGGGCATATACTCTTGGTAAGTCTAGGGCCCCACCCACCACCAGCTCTTCTCCATACGACCACAGCTGATGTCTCCGGAAAGCACCACCTCCTGGCAGGAGGAAAACCAACACAAAAATAGAATATTAAACCACCAAAGCCAAGAACACTCACAGAGTCCATTTCACACCCCTGCCATCTCCACAGAAACAGGTGCTGGTATCCACATCTGAGACTCATAGATGGTTCACATCACAGGACTCTATGTGGACAACCCCCTGTACCAGCCAAGAGCCTGGTAGACTTCCTGGATGGCTAGACCCATAAAAGAAATAACAATCACTACAGCTCAGCTCTCAGGAAACCACATCCACAGGAAAAGGGGGAGAGTACTACATCAAAGAAACACCCCGTGGGACAACAGAATATGAACAACAGCCTACAGCCTTAGACCTTCTCTCTGATAGCCCCTACTCAAGTGAGAAGGAACGAGAAAACCAACTCTGGCAATATCACGAACAAGGCTCTTTTCTGACAGTTCTTATCATCCGTCATTGGTATATGTGAACTCTCCCTTTATGACCTTCCCTGGCTCTATTTGTCAGGCATTTTGATTCTGACAACTTTCCCAGTCCCGCGTGCCTTTTCCCTTTGCTGATGATATTAATTTGTATTCAGCCACCACTGTGAGTATAACAGCCCTATCTGAGTCAGGCATGAGCCACTGGGCCCCGCCTCATTAACTTATTTAATACTCATCACACAGTGAAGAATATACAGAGACTGCTTACCCCTCATTCAATGGAAATTAGAAGGGGACACAGCTCATAACTGACTGATAAGGGAACCTGGCTCCAGGGGCTTTGGGTATAAAAACTTTGCTACTGGCAATTTACTTGCTTATCTTTTGGAAATAATTTGTTTTTCTGTTTGCTTTGTTTGTTTTTCTCTCTAGCTCCTTTTAAAATTTTTGTTTTTGAAAATCTGAAACATATCTAGATATGTATTTATTTTTACTTATCCTGAACAGAACTTTCTGTTGCTTCAATCTATTCATTATGAATTTTCTAGAAATTTCTCCACAATTAGATCATCTAATATTTTTGTTTCTGCATCATTTATTTTTTCTGTCTTTACCTCTTAATAGAAGTATGTCGGGCAGTTTCCTGTGTCCTTCATGTCTTTTTACTCCTTTTTAATATTTTCTCATTTCTTTCTCCTTTTCATCCCACCTCTTTTCTGCCTAAGCCAAATTCTAGTAAATTTCTTCAGATCTATTATTCAGTTAATGCATGTATTCTGCAGAAAATATTTAACACAACCAAAACACATATATTTTTTAAATGTATTATTATTATTTAAAGTTACTTGGCCTTATTGTGATTTCTGTCGATTCTTTATACATTTATTTTTTATTTCCTTCCAAATTGTTCTTTTCTTAAGTCCTTTACCTTTTTATTAATTGTGTCTCTTCGCCCGTCCTTAGGAAATGAACGTTTCATTGATTTTACAGTTGTTTGTGCTTTCTTTTCTAGGTATTTTTCCTTGACTTGCAGTAGCACATCCCATTTACCTTGAGTTGTGAAAGTGTTCTCCTGAGAGGTAATGTATTTTCTTCTCCCTTGTAAACTAGGGGTTTCACACATTTGGGACAAACGTTTTTCATTAACATCTACTAAGATTTCACACTATATAGTAATCATACACTTTCATCTCATACCTGTGCATGGCATAATTCTTGGATTTAGATTTTTCAAAGCAGACTTTTTTTTGAAAAGAGCCCTAACAGGCAAATGATGAACCCATCTAACTTGCTGCATTTTTATGTGTGCTGGCAGATGAAATATTTCTAACCTAACATCCTAATAACCTAATAATGGTGCCTATCAGTACATTCATAGTCCTAGCTTTATATTGGGGCCTCAGTTCCAGTTTTTCACATTTTACAGATTCAAGACAACATATTTTGCTCCAATTAAAATATTAAAATCACCAATTAGGGCCTATTTTTGGACGGAGTACACACCTGAGTTTGAGCTCACATATGGTATTTTACCACGTATGAGTTTCTTCATTTCCAAAATAAGAAGTTTTATTTCCTGTCTATGAAGCCATGCTTTAAACAATTTAAAACAATTTTTGTTTAAATCATTGATTTTTAAAATGTGTTTTTAAGCAAGGACATTTTAATTCCTTTGTCTTAAATGAGATGGCTCTATGATTCCTCTAATTCATAAACTGCTAATAAATTGTTATTCTTTTTTGAAGGAAGTGGTTTTTTATTGAAAAAAATTTGTAGTAGAATGTTAAAATACAAATTCATAATATACTTGAGTTGTAAAACTGCAAGAAAATCAATAGGTATCTACTCACTCAAATTAAGAAATATACCATTTCTATTACTGAGACTCCAGTAACAGCCCTCTTACTCCCAAAGGTAACTACTATCATGCTTTTGGGCATATCATTCTCTTGCTTTTTTAAAGAAATGTTTTATTTATACATAGGATTATTACCATGAATCAATATGAGGTGTTTAATCATAGCCTATCAATATAGTGTTTCACTTGAATTTTAACTTGAATGTCCCATGTATTGTTGAGATGCTTATACAGCTTTATAATGTTTGGAGAGGGAGGAAATTGATTTATATATTTGTGAGGTTTTTTTTGTTTTTTTAAGGCTTTTGATTTTTCATTGATTTCTCGTTTATCGTTTTGGCTCTGGGGGAAAAAAGTCATACCATTATTAAATTTGAGCTCTAGTTCTAAGAGCCTGTTCCACACATTCCCCTCCATTCACCTCACATTCTTCTCACTTACTTACTCCTCCTAGCTTACTCCTGCACCTGCCTCCATGGGATGCCAAACTGGACCGGAGGCTAAACCCTAAGGAGGCCCCCTCCCCATCACCTCATAAGCTAAGCATCCCAGCTGAGAGGCCAGGTGAGAGAAGTGACCTGTTTGGTAAATATGGTTCCTCAAAACTGAGTCCTACATTTTGGCCTTCTCCTCTGTTCTGTGGCCTCTAAAAAGGGGGGACATCCAAATCTTTGCATTCAGCGGTGACTTATGAATTACAAATTTCTATTTCCAGCTCAACTTTCCTCTGGCTCCAGAGACCCTTTGTATCCATCCACCTATCTACATCTCGTTTTCAATGTCTTAAAAACATTCAAGCCAAAATCCAAAGATACCCAAACACATAGAATCCGAACGTGTGTTCTCCCTACACTCTTGCATTGGTTTGTGTGAGTAGTGGAGGACTTCTCTTCCACTAGTCTCTGGACCATAACCTTCTCAAAGTCAGAGAAGAATTATTCTTTTGTTCACAATTGTCTCTCTACCATGTGCGTGGCAAAGTCTGAACTGAAGCAGTGAATGTTTAGTGAATATATCAATTTACAAGAGGATCGGTTAAGCAAGACCATCATGATTGAAGTGAAATAGCCTGGTCTCTACTCACTGTCCTGTGTCACCTCCTAGGCAGAGCATCTAGAATTCCCTATTCCTTTTTACAAGCAGCAGCCATCTTCCCACTTGGAAGACCCTCAGTAAGCTTTCTTGCCTGGAAAAATCTTAAATTTTTTTTCTTTGACTCTCAGTTTAAGAGTCATGGAAATAGGACAGGCTTTGTACCCAGGTAAACTGCGCTTGAATTCTGCCTCTGGCACCTCCAGGCTGTGGGATCATGTGCACGCAGCTTCTCACCTGAGCCCATATTTTCCATTTCTAAATAGAGAAGATAGTTGTGTTAATGACATTAGAAAAAGACACTGCATGTAAATTAGTCCAATAGCAGGCATGTATGAAAATATCTTCTTGATTTTCTTAGGGAGAATTCTCTGCTTTTGCAATATTCATTTTGTACTTACAGAATGCGGTATAAATACAAGTATATTTATCTTTCAGTACAGCTTGAATCTACTGTAATTATCTATTTAATATGCTCCTATGAGATCATGAAAGTTAATATTTACATTCCTTTATCCCAACATAGGTGTCTCAACCACTCGTAACTATTTAATGTAGGAAGCTATGATTGAAGGATAAACTGGATACCCCGTAAATATTTTTGAAATATAAAAACGAGAATGCTGTTGGACATGGTGGCTGACACCTGTAATCCCAGCACTTTGGGAGGCCAAGGCGGGCAGATCACCTGAGGTTGGGAGTTCGAGACCAGCCTGACCAACATGGAGAAACCCTATCTCTACTAAAAATACAAAATTAGCTGGGTGTAGTGGCACATGCCTGTAATTCTAGCTATTCAGGAGGCTGACATGGGAGAATTGCTTGAACCTGGGAGGCAGAGGTTGCGGTGAGCCGAGATTGTACCACTGCACTCCAGCCTGGGCAACAAGAGCGAAACTCCATCTCAAAAAAAAAAAAAAAAAAAAAAATAGAGAAAATGCTTTTACATGAGCACAATCAAAGTGATATATTATAAAACTTCATTATATATATAATATGTATGCATATAACTGTATACACCAAAACACTTTAAATGTTTACCATGATTATATTTATTTTCTGCCACTATAAGTCAAATGTCAAACCAATAAACAATTTTAATTTTTTACTAAAAGCCTAAGAAGCAGTGCAACGAAGTGCCAAATTGTCATGAAACTAGGTTAAATTTATATGTGCAATATGACATATATTTGTGAATTTTATAGTTTATGTTTTGTTTTAAGTTTAGATTTATTTCAGGAGAAATCTAAGATAGTGCAAACAGTCACTTTAGTTTGAGATGTTTTGAAAGACCATGGGTGGGAGAAAAGAGAGGTTCTTCTTTAAGAATGGAATTGAGAAGTTGAGATTTCTTGCTGCTGGTAACTATGCTCTCATGCAAGTCTTTCAACCCTTTTGTTATGAAGAAGGACACAGGAAAAGACTCAAGGAATGACAGTGACCTGGTAGATCTCTAGAGTTAAAATGAGAAAAACAAAACCACTCTTTAAATTATATCTAATGCTTTAGGTTGGGAGGTTACACTACCTGAGGGAAGTTACAGAAAGTAACCTGAAGCCTCAAAACCTACAGGTAGATGACAAATCTCCAGCATTAGGTATCAAATCCAGTTGGTGATAAGTTAGCTAAGTTTTTTTCCTTCTTAAAATTGCTAAGAGAAAAACGATATGAGAAAGTCAAAGGTCACTGAACAAAGCAATAAAACAAAATGTTTATTCCGAAAGAGATATTTTAGAGAAAATGAGAGAGAGAAAGAGTCTGTGCTCCACTGCAAGCCTGAAACTGTGCTTGGAACTATTTTCACATTCTATCATTGTATAATTTGCACAAAAGTCCTATAAGGTAGGTATTTTAGTTCAATTTTTTCCCGTACTAATGTTAAGATTCAGAAAGGCCAGAATATCATGAAAGTTACAGAAGTCACAACTATTTTCGTTGCAAAATCTCAAATTTAGTGTGTTCAATGGCAAAGACCTTTCTTATTTTTATAATTTTTGTAATCACTTTAAATAACTAATTCTGGTCCTTGAAATCCATACTTAAAATGGATATATTTTTATAAAACATACCTGCTTCACAGGATCAATTTTATAAAGAGGTGAGGTCGATTTATATTATCATCTCAACTATTTGCTCCTTTCTCCTTTATGAGATGATTTCCTACCCCTCCCCACTGATTCTGGGTTTGGCCATGTTACCCGTGTGGCCAATGGAAGATGAGCAAATGTGATATAAGCCAAAAGCCAGCCGAAGTTTCAGACACATCACTACCATTTCCTCCAACTCTCTTTCCTTCTCAGATGAGAATGGCGTGTCTTTAATAAAGGCTCCTCTTTCAGACTAGATTCAGATGAGGAATGTGGAGGGAGAGCCACAGGCATGGATCTGCAGCCTCTGATATGTAAGGACAGTGAGGATCAATGCTTGTTTGCACAAGCCATTGAGTTCATGGGTCCAATCTTTGCGTTGCCAAGTTATCAGTCTTGGTGATTGAAACCACAAGGCTAAAGTTAATAATCATTGATGTCATTTTAGAATATTCGAAATGCCTATTTACTCCTTGATACAAAAAACTAAATATAAATTATAATACATTCTATATCATACATATCTATATCATTCATTCATCAAATATATATTACTAGTCTGCTATGTACCTGGACCTGTTTTAGACACTATACAAAGAGTGGTTATTAAGACACACAATACATGGTGCCTTCCTTACATGGAGTTTGCACTCTAGAGGGATAAGTATTTTTATACTATATGTTGGTACATTGAAGTAGTGGTCATCCTACTTTGATGACGTAGTGGTCATACCTACATTGAAGTAGTGGGGAGGTGGATTGAAGAGCCAGAGCAGTAAGCATCACCCAATAGATACACAGTCATTTCTTGGGTTAAGCGGGAGATTGGTTCTAGGACCTCCACATATAACAAAATTCATTCATATTCAGTCATTCCAGCTGAATTCACTTACATGAGAAGTTGGCCCTCCATATACGACGGTTTCCAATCCCGCAAACACTACATTTCAATCCGCATTTGGTTGAAAACATTTGGCTTATGAGTGGCCCGTATGGTTCAGACTCATGTTGTTCAAGGGTCACCCGAACTAGTAATGCAGGTACTGTTCATTCGAATAAGAGTTAACTGAGGATCGGTGACAGATAAAGTTTTTGCCAAAATTAAAGTTAAGCAACAAGGATCAGCAGGAAAACTGGATCTTATAGAAACTGTAAAATTAACCCAGACAGAACACTCCCAAAAATACAATAACGTTTTTTTCCAGAGGCAATTGTTTTATTATTTAGTTTTCTACATTAAAACTTAGCCTTATCATCTCATACATATGTGAAAGGAAATACCGTCGGGTGGATTTCCCCTGAAGAGTTGGTGATATTCATCATCAGTCATTGTGAGCATTGCAACAGATTCAGCATTTCCAGTTGTAGAGGCAGAAAGAAGTGGCTTTCTTGTCACTGTAAGTGAAGTTTTTAATTGGGAATGGGATCCAGATACACTCTTTATGACATTTTTCAGGAAAGGTTCACTAAACATTTACCATATTATAGAACTATTTTTCATCCTATTATTAAAATCATTAAATTCAATGCATTGTGTTTTAATTTCACACATCATTATTTACTCACGTGTAGAGAAGCATTATTTACAACTATTTCATTCACAGAGTTGTATGTAACTGTTTTTATCAGATTATCATGAGCCCAATAATATATTTGTGCATACACTGATAATTAATTCCGTTCAATAATATATTCTCAGCAGTATAAGGCATAAATATTCTTTTATTTGCCAGAGACATTGATAGACTAAGAATAAGTAATATCCATAATACAGAGAAAGCTGTTAATCTTTATTTAGTGAATACTAATAAATGGGACTGAATTTTATAATGGTAATTGAATAAAGCATTTAATAGCAGTTTTGTTTTCAAAGGACTTCCTTTGCATTCATCTTTATAACTGCGTTGGTGGCATTACTATTATTTTATGTGTTTAGGTTGTATAGTCTGCACACAGAAGCTATATTTTTGTCACATATATATTTTATATGCTGTCACTTAATACCTGACAAAATTTTATCTTCGCAATTTATTATTTTAAAAAACCCAGGCTTTTTAAATATGTATTTACCTGAATGTGTTATTTTTATGTTTTTTGCACCAAAATGCCTATTGCAAAAAATATAACGTCTTATAAATTCAGTGGTCTCAAACTTTTTATACACTCAATAAATAGTAGCCATATTAATAAACAGTAAAGTATATACTTTAGAGTACAGATTTTTCAAAATATAGTTAATAATTAATATAGCCAATATCATCAATGTATTTAAATCCTTACACTCATTCCTATATATTGATAAAAAATATTGTTACTATTTCTATTTTTATAATGTAAAAATCCTTTTGCATATGATTGTATAATCCACCTCATATCAAAACCAATGCATGTAATTATGTTTCCCAAAAGCACTACTTGACCAGTAAAAGTAATTTGGTTAGAGCATTCACCTTATTATTTCTACAGGCTTCTTTGTACATGTTAATTATTTCTCTGATGCCTTTTACTGTGTTTTATCCACAATCAACTGGGTGGAATTAAGTTTACTTATGCTATGTAATAAGTATGCATTAAAACATATATATATGTTTTATAATGGTAATTGTTATATAAATATATATAACATTTTTATATGGTAATTGTTATATAAATATATATAACATTTGTTATATGGTAATTGTTATTAAAATATATAAAATATATAAATGGTAATATATATTACCATTTATAATATATATAATATATGTATTATGTATTTGGATTACACCACAGGACAAATCTACTACCTTTGTTAGTCTTGGTTTAGTGAGGAAAACAGAATTTTCTCAGCATTATAAGAATAAGAAATTTAATGTAGAAATTAGGGCTTCTGCAGACATGGGAGGAGAGGGGTCACCAAAGTTCTGGAAGGCGGCAGCTGAAGGATAAGATAAATGGTCAGTAAGTATTGGGACTAGGACAAAGCCAGAGCTCTGAGAGGCTGGAGCCTCCACTTCTAGTCACTGCAATTAAAAACCAGAAGTCTGGGGCAAGGTGGTGGCTCATGCCTGTAATCTCAGTACTTTGGGAGGCCAAGGCAGGAGGATCACCTGAGGTCAGGAGTGAGAGACCAGCTTGGCCAACACGGTGAAACCCTGTCTCTACTAAAAATACAAAAAAAAAAAAAAAAAAAAAAATTAGCTGGGTGTGTTTGTGGGCACCTGTAATCCCAGCTACTCGGGAGGCTGAGGCAGGAGAATTGCTTGAACCTGGGAGGCAGAGGCTGCAATGAGCCAAGATTGTACCACTGCACTCCAGCCTGGGTGACAGAGTGAGACTCTGTCTTAAAAAAAACAAAAAAACAAACAAACAAATGAAAAACAAAAAGCAAACAAACAAAAAAAGACAGAAGTTTGCAGACATGTCTAGGAAGCTGCTGCATCTTGTTACCAAGGCTTTCTGAGAAAGACGACTTCCACCCCAATTCTCCTTCCACATCCTGTGTGAGTTCTTTTCATTGATGAGCTCTCACTCATAGCCAGAGAGGGAAGTCAAACTGTGGAAAGGACTTTCCAGTCCTAGAAGAGTGTTGGCAGAGCTTTTTTATTTAAAAAAAAAAATAAAATAAAAAATAAAATAAAATAAAATATAAAATAAAATTTAAAAACACTGCAACACAATACTTATAAAGAGAAGCCCAATAAATAATGCAGTGCTAACAAGAAAAATCATTTTCATAGAGATGAGGACACACGTGTATTATAAATTTATTTGCCCATTTAAATGATTTTGCATCCTGTGCTGGTTAATTTTAGGTGTCAACTTGACTAGATTATGGAGTACCCAGGTAGCTGGTAAAGCATTGGTTCTGGGTGTCTTTCAGGAGTTGTCCAGAAGAGACTGGCCTCTGCATCAGTAGACTGAGTAAGGAAGACCGTCCCTCATCCCATGTGGATGTTTTCCGTTAATCCTGGAGTGGACAAAAGGTAGAGGAGAGACGAATTCTCTCTTTCTTCTGGAGCGGGGACACCCATCTTCTCGTGCCCTTGGGCATCAGAACTCCAGGCTCTCTGGCCTCTTTGGACTTGGGAATTTGTATCAGCAGCACCTCAAGTTCGTAGGCCTCCAGACTGAGGTTGAGATGTGCACCATCTGTTCTCCCGGTCCTCATGCCTTTGGTCCTGGATTGAGCCACGCCACTGGCTTCCGTTTCTCCAGCTTCCAGTCAGCCTAGCGTGGGATTTCTCAGCCTCCATCATTGTGTGAGTTTCCCTAATAACTCCTCTCTTATCTATCTATGTATCTCCTATTGATGCTGTTCTGGGGAACTCATAAAGATCCATTTTACAGTTAGTCATACAATGTCACTGAGCTTCAATTCCCTTGGGAAAATCATGGGCTATTTTTATCCACTTTATAATGTGGTTGATTGAATGAGGTAATGTATAACAAACACAAGCATATTTCAGGTGCTCTGTACATGAAGTCATCCTTTTGTTGGAAAATGAGTTTGTCATTAGGAAACCAAGCGACTGCATCCCCAGTTGACTCTGTGGACTGAATGAATCAGCAGACTTCTTTGACACTCAGTTTACTTAGTTGTAAAATTGCCTATGTAATAATACCTTCCTCTAAAACTATAGTCAGGATATAATTAAACAAACCAATATGCGCCCAAGAATCTTGTCCATAGTTAAACTTATATTACTTTGTAGCAACTTGTCATTTTCACCATGCATGCTTACTTCTAGACATTATAGATCTGAGGTGTCTGTTGCTGAAAACCTGGCCCTCCTAACAGATGCACGACCTGTTTGCATTTGCTGTGGCTGAGCTGCTTCAGAGCTCCAGCTTCTACGCTATGCTACCTACCTGACAGTCAGGTATAGTAAGAATGGTCTATACAAAGCAATGGCGGCGAGTTAGATTCTAAAAGGGATTTGTTGTGATTGCATTGTTGGTTTTTAATAAGCTTTCAAAATATTTTCTTGGATAGTTTTTAGATGTATTTTTTCCAAACTTGCCAAAAAGATTGAGCTGTGAATTTACGATTTGACAAAGTATTGCACTAACAAATGTAATGTGGCCGGGCGCAGTGGCTCAAGCCTGTAATCCCAGCACTTTGGGAGGCCGAGTTGGGCGGATCACGAGGTCAGGAGATCGAGACCATCCTGGCTAACACGGTAAAACCCCGTCTCTACTAAAAAATACAAAAAAATTAGCCAGGAGTGATGGTGGACGCCTGTAGTCCCAGCTACTCGGGAGGCTGAGGCAGGAGAATGGCATGAACCCGGGAGGCGGAGCTTGCAGTGAGCTGAGATCCGGCCACTGCACTCCAGCCTGGGCGACAGAGCGAGACTCCATCTCAAAAAAAAAAAGAAATGTAATGACATCTGAAAAAAATATAAATTCAATTTTACTTGACAAACTTCGAAGAGAATATAAATCTCTAACCTCTTTTTCCCTTTAATTCCATCATGAATAGTTGAAATATTTCCCTGTTTTATTTTTTAAAAAATAGAAAGAATGAAATGATGTATTAGAAAGGTCTTGCAGCTGTTTGAAGCCTGGCTGTGCCATATATACAGTGGTTTTTGTTTGTTTTAATTCCCATTTCTTATACATTTTTATGCTCATCACACCAGCCCTTATGCCCAATACATCCTTCACTGTCTCAAATTCTAATCATTTCATGTTGATAGTTGCTCTCAGTGTGGATCATTTATATATATACTCACTCACTTTGATTCTCTTAGCACCTTAACATTCAATTTGCCCCATAATGATTCTCTTTATTATGAAATACTTTTTCATTCAATCGAAAAGTATTCACTGTGCATCCAGTATATCCCAGGAATGATGCTATATTCTGGAGATACAAAAATGAGAAAGATCTCTACTTTTTTTCAATGAACTGGTACACTGGTAGGAAAGATATATGCTAAAATGAATGATTTAGTTAGTTATTTTAATTACCTTCCAGATGACAGAATAAGTCCATGATTATCTTCCCTCCCTACCAAGTCACTGAATCATTAAAGACATATGAAAAGGTTACATTGAAAACAGATGGCAAGAGTAATCTTTACACCTCAGGACTCAAAATAGTTACAAATTAGCCAAACAAAAATGCATCTGCTGTGGATCAGTGTAGACAGTCAGGAATACGATAAAATCATGAATATTTCTTGATATGAAAAAATAATTGACATAGTCATGCAAATTAAAGCAAGAAAAAAAAACCCCCACAGGCAATTGTTATTTTAAAGGACTAAAAATAAATGAAAGGGGAGACAGGAAGGGAATAAATGAGGAAAGGAGGAAGTGAGGGAAGGAGAGAAAGAGAGAGAGAGAGGTTTTCTTATCTTCACTTGAACATTATTATTGTAACCTAAATGTGGCAAAGCACATCACAAAGTAGTCCGCTGTAATACAAAATCCAGTTGAAAATACAGATAAGCAATGATGAACTTTGTTTTCTTAATAAAATATTTTGAACCAATAGCGATTTATATATTAAGTGGTTTAATTTTCATTCAACTTCGATTAGACAAGAAACATTTTTCTTATTTATCCTCCAGTAGCTGGTGATTATGGCTTGTGATTTCCCGAACTCTATGTGTATATCTACTATGTTTAGCACAAATTCAATATTCTTATTTTGTTACGATGATGTAAGAACAATTTTAATTGTCCCAAGATGTGTTTTGCCTTTACAACTGGAATTTTAGAGTTATAAAGAGTTATATTATTAAAGACAATTTTGATATTAATAAATAATTGGGAACATCCTGAACTTCCTTCCCCTCCTCCCATTATTTAAATGCTGTTTTCAATGGTATTTATTTAAAAAAAAAACTCATGGAGGAACAATACAGAGTACTAGAGATTAAATAAATTCATAATATTTTGGGGTAGAGTTTCTTAAAATATTGTTCTTTTATTTTTAATAAAAATAAATAGCAAATAAATAAATAATGAATGAAGTATACTTGAAATTGATTAAAGCCAGATTATCAGGCTGATGAGAATAGAATGTATATAAATCGATTATCATTTTCATTTTGAGTGAGAATGCAAAAGATGTTTGAAAATTGCAATTTCCAATTTTCTGTTAAAATTCCCTGCTATTTCGGAGTTTGCTTACCACCTATCATTGTGCATATGGCTAAAAAAGCTGCTTAGGTGGGTTCTCAGAAACTTTTACATTAAAATGAGCATGTCTCTATGATTTGAACAACCTATTGACTAAGAAAGAGTATGACCACAGTATAAGTAAAAATAATAATTATATTATAATGTTAATATGTAATTTGTGAATAGCATTCTAGCTGATGGAGCTTCCCAAATTGTAGATATTTTAGGGAAATGTAATTGTATAATTAATTGCTTAGAGTAATAATGCTGATGAGAAAGGAAACTGTTAGTGGTAATGCATCTTTTCTGTGCTTAAATAAACATAAATCTTGTACATCCTTTGTTATTCAATTAATATTTTAAATTTGATTTTGAATTATATTTATGATTACGTATATTTAGAAAAATGATTTTTTCCAACTTGATGAACAATAAAACCACATTCATTTTGAGAGCTAAAGATGTTATTGTCATATGTCTAGATAATATAAAAAAACAACCTAGGAAATAATTGAGATACTCATATTTTAGGAATTACGTATTTTGTGGCTTGTGTTTTAATATAAAATGACAAGAGTAACCCGCTTCATTTTTTACATGGGTCCCTTCTATGTTTTTCTAAATTAATAGTGATTTAATATTGTGCTTTGCAGATTCCGTTTTCAAAATACAGATTCATAAGAAAGACTGAAAATACGTGTCTTTGAAGACTTCTAATCCATTAACTTACAGAAGGTGGAAAAGAAATTATTGCAAATGTGAATACCAACTAAAATTACAAAACTTTTGGCAATTTCAAAGCTTTTTTATAACTTTATACGTAGGCTTTGGCTAAATTATCTCCATGAAATACCATCTTTTTCCCTCTTATGGCAATTCATGAAAATGAAAATATACATTTATAAAAATATTGAATGAGTGTAGACAGAAGAGAAAAGGCAACTGGAATTACAACTCTGGCCACTATTTCCTTTTTAAAAAACTTTTAAGTTCAGGGTAAATGTGCAGGTTTGTTGTGTTGGGTGTTTGTTTTACAGATTAGTTCATCACCCAGGTATTAAGCCTGGCACGCATTCGTCATTTTTCCTCACCTTCTCCCTCCTCCCACCCTCTTCCATCGGAGAGGTCCCAGTGCTGTGTGGTTCCCCTCTGTATGTCCATGTGTTCTCATGATAAAGAATTGGTCTTCTCTATAATTATAATAGTTTATACATGGATAGGCCTTGGTGTCAGGGATAAGCTTCTGTGAGGAATAAAGAAATTTAACGAATGTAATTTTTCCACTCATTTGCGCTCATGTAGCAACACATATTGATTACCAATTATATAAATGCACCGTTATTTTGAAGAATAGGTAGCTTGGTCTGTTCTGATGCCTGTCTCCGAGCACATATTCTAGAAATGAGCAATTCTCAATTACCCATTACTGATAGTCTGTGTTGGCGCCTCTTCCAGTATGATTATCATCTCTCTTACAGTGTATGGTGGCACACTAAAAGCTACTAGGCAGTGTCTGATTCTTGTTCCTTCCCACCTTACTAGCCCCTACATGTTTTTTCCCATGTAGTCGTGTCTTAATAATCCTTCAGAAACTGATATTCACTGATTTTGTATCTTTGAAAGGTGAAGTCTGTTCCTGAACTATGTAGTGCTACTGGAATCACTGAGACAGGGCAATCATTTTTTGTTGGGAATGCTTGAGCTACAGGTACAGAAAACTGTAACACATGAGGCATTTTTCCTGCTCCGGACAGCAAACTGCTAGAACACCAGTGTAGGTGCCATGGCCTCCACTGTGGTCCCACTGATCTCATATTGCCTGTGTGTGCACATCAGCACTTTTCGTTTTTTGTTGTTGTTGTTGTTGTTTTTGTCTGAGGCGGAGTCTCACTCTGTGGCCCAGGCTGGACTGCAATGGTGCAATCTCAGCTCACTGCAACCCCAGCCTCCTGGGTTCAAGCAATTCTTCTGCCTCAGCCTCCCAAGTAGCTGGGATTACAGGCACCTGCCACCATACCCAGCTAATTTTTTGTGTCTATTTTTGGTAGTGATGGGGTTTCACTATGTTGGCCAGGCTGGTCTTGAACTCCTCATCTCAGATGATCCACCAGCCTCAGCCTCCCAACAAGCTGGGATTACAAGTGTGAGCCACGATGTCTGGCCCAGTTCTAATGTTAACAGAAACCTTCTTCACTAGGTGTAGCCTTCTCAATTTTACAAGTGAAGAAGGTGAGGGCCAGACACCGTGGCTCATGCCTGTAATCCCGACATTTTTGGAGGCTGAGGTGGGCAAATCACTTGAGGCTAAGAGTTGGGCAACATGGCAAAATCCCATCTCTACTAAAAATACAAAAATTAGCCAGGGGTGGTGGTGCAGACTTGTAATTCCAGCTACTTGGGAGGCTGAGGCATGAGAATCGCTTGAGCCTAGGAGGCAGAGGTTGCAGTGAGCCGAGATATTACCACTGTACTCCAGCCTGGGCATCACAGTGAGATGCTGTCTCAAAAATGAAAGAGGAAAAAAAAAGAAAGAAAGAAGAAGAAAGAGAAAGAAAGAAGAAAAGAAAGAAGAAAGTGAAACTCAGAGGATTCAAATAGATTTTTAAAGAGCACATAAATAGTATGAAATAAAACTAAATTTGATTTTCACTGCAGTATACCACTTTTTTATATTGTAACATTGCTTATGAAACTGCATTTACCTATACAACTGTCTGCTTCCTTGCTTATCCACCAGGATGCTATTACGTGAATTTATGCCAAATAATTATCTGTGACTGAAATACAAGATTTGCTTTCCAGTGTTGCTATTTCTATGTATACTTCATGATGAGTGCTTTGGGGGTTACTTAGGACCTCTGGCATTCAATGTTGAATGACAGATGATGAACAATAGCACTTTGATACGATGATGCAACAAAATAGCACTGGAGGAAATAGCATCCAGACAGAGTCACTGGGTTGGGAAAGTCATTTTTACTGTGCACAAGTTCAGAGGGAGGTTACTCTACATTGCTGCTCTTTATAGATGATAC